GTCACCATGCCCGAGTGACGTCACTGAGGTGTGGCGGTAGCATGCTGACTTCACACGACAACTAGTATGTCCCCAAGTACCACTACTTGGTCAGTTGGTCGGCCACATAAGGAAGCTAGCACTATAGCAATAGTCTTACAACTCCCAAAGGCTCCGAAAGTGCCACTACTGGAGTCGAGTTGGAGAAATTGTTCACACTCTTCCAGCAAACCTGCAGTTCTTACGCTCTTTAAAAAAATACTTCACCCATCAAACGTGTATTCATGGCAGAGTCTCTCTTCCCTTCACTCCACCCACTCTCCAGCCCAGCAATTTCAAAAGCCTCCTTCCCGTAGTCTTTAAAAACAAGCAAGCAAGCAAAAGAACAGAAGGAAACCAAAACTTGTTTCAATGCTTCAGTTCTCCTCCCCCAAAGCAGATGATCCTTGTCTCTGTGCTATTTACATTTGTGTATTAAAGTTTCTTGCTAATTCACCAATCCACGGAAATCTAAATCTGGTTTTGCCCATTTCTTATACTTCATGACTAATCCTTCCCCTTACTACCACAGCCCAGCTGCGGCAGAGAGGGTGGCCTGTGGAAGCCAATCCTCGGTGCCAACACAGGGGTGCGGGCATTGCAAGTGCCTTGTGCGGGGTCAAAGCACACCCAGCCGGTCATGCCGTACCCCTGCCCGATTTTGGGAGCAAGCACAGTAGGCAACAATGGTGAGCCTTTAGCAAAGAGACAGTCCGGCTCGTGTGCTTTTTTTTTCATCATGCAAGTTTTGAAGCAAGATGTATTCAACTCCAAGATCATACTAGCTGTATCTACGACAAAAGGCAAAGAGCACTAAGCACACAGGAATTGCTTACTGGACAAAAAAAAATAAAATTCTTAAGAGGAAGGAACTAGAAGGTGCCCACCTTTGCTATTAGGCAGGTAACAATGGTAGTAAATGTTCAATTATGGAGCCCTGCTAAAGCACTGAAGCTCTTTCAGGCAGCTTCTGGACTGGACTAGAAGTATGCGCTGCTCTGCTGCATTTTTAGTTACACTAGGAGCTTGTTATTCAGCTCGTATTTCCTCCCCCAGCGTAGGCTGGTGACAACACTTGATGGCTGGTCAGCCCAATTCAAGTTGTTAGAGGACAACATACACTTTCTTCCCCAACTGGATGGCCTTTTTAAGGAGAAACACCAAGATCTCTGTGCTGGTTTTGGCTGGGGTAGAGTTAATTTTCTTCACAGTAGCTGGTATGGGGCTGTAGTTTGGATTTGTGATGGAACCAGTGTTGATAACACAGGGATAGTTTCGTTACTGCTGAGCAGGGCTTACACAGAGTCAAGGCCTTTTCTGCCTCTCACCCCACCCCATCAGCAAGGGGGTTGGGGGGGGCACCAGAAGTTGGGAAGGGGCACAGCCAGGACAGCTGACCCCAACTGACCCAAGGGAAATTCCACGCCATAGGACGTCATGCTCAGCATATAAAGTTGGGGGAAGAAGGAGGAAGGGGGGACATTCAGAGTGATGGCATTTGTCTTCCCAAGTCACCATTAGGTATAACGGAGCCCTGCTTTCCTGGAGATGGTGGAACACCTGCCTGCTGGTGGGAAGCAGAAAATCATAGAATGGTTTAGGTTGGAAAAGACCTTTAAGATCATCCAGTCCAAACGTTAACCTGCCATCCCACCACTGAACCTTGTCCCTAAGCACCTCGTCTGCCCATCATTTAAATACCTCCAGGCATGGGGACTCGACCACTTCCCCGGGCAGCCCATGCCAGTGCCTGACAAGCCTTTTGGTGAAGTGATTTTTCCTGATGTCCTTTCCCCTCGTCCTATCACCCATTTACCTGGGAGAAGAGACCGACCCCCACCTGGCTACAGCCTCCTTTCAGGGAGTTGTAGAGGGCGATAAGGCCTCTCCTCAGCCTCCTCTTCTCCAGGCTGAACCCCAGTTCCCTCAGCTGTTCCTCGTAAGCCTTGTGCTCCAGACCCCTCACCAGCTGTGTTGCTCTCCTCTGGACAAGTTCCAGCACCTCATCTTTCCTGTGGTGAGGGGCTCAAAAATGAACATAGGATTCAAGCTGCAGCCTCACCTGTGCCAAGGAATTAATTCCTTGCTCTGCATCGCGTGCATGCATGGCTTTTGCTCTCCCTACTAAACTATCTTTATCTCAACCCAAGAGTTTTTTCACTTTTACTCTTCAGATTCTCTCCCCCATCCCAAGGGGGAGTGAGTGAGCATCTGGGTGGTGCTTAGTTACCAGCTGGGGTTAAACCACAACAATCCTTTCTGGCACGCAACATGGGGCTCAACCGGTTCGAAATAACGGCAGATTTGATTGGAATGTGCCAGATCACGGTCAGCTATTAATTGGCAGGCTCCTGTGCTTGCCCTGGGGCTTGCTTGCCTTACCGTAATATTAAAGTCTACTCCTTGTCAGTAGTGGCTGCTTTTTGTTTTTGCTGCTTGCTGTGCTGCTTGTCATCTGACCCTGCTGTGCCTGGGAACATCCTGATAACAGCCATGGCCACGCGCCTGGGCTGGCAGAGAGCCAGGGCATCGCTGCTGCTCCTGTGCTGCTGCACTGGGCAGGCTGGAACTCCAGCGTGAACTCGAGTCGCAGGGACTGTGACCTGCAGACAAATCCATGCGGGAACAGGACAGCCCAAAGTGTCTGCAGCCGTGGATAAGCCCACGCCAAAGCAGGTACATCTCAAAGCGCCCGTGGCTGTGGTTTTCTGTGCTGCAGCAGGTACACCTCTGAAGGGATTGTGGCCCAAGGACAAGTCCACACAGGTACAGAGCGGGTACACCTCGAAGCATCAGTGGTTGCGGGTAAGTCCATGCTGCAGCAGGTACACCCTGAAACACGAGCAGCCCTGGATGAGGTCATGCTGGAGCACCTCAAAGCGTGTGGCCATAGATAAGCCCATGACAATCTCCCAACCCAAACCATCTGCAGTAGCCTAAGTAACACTGAGAACATTCTTGTATATCAAGTAAGTAATCTGGGGGAAGAGAGGGTGTAACAGCAGGGAAGAGAGGAGCAAAGACTATGAATTTATGGAAGCAGTTACAGAATTTCAATGTGATAGCAACAAGAAAATCTGTCACAAAAACAACTTAAAATTACTTTATTATTTAAGTATATTAGCACAATATTTACAAAATTGTTTCATAAATAAAAACATTTTCTTGGATAAAGACTATATAGATCTATAGATATTTAAAATGTCTATATATTTATGTATACACATTATATAAATACACACACAAATGGAAGCATACAGTTATGAACAACTTTGGTTTTAAATTACTGGTGGGGAAGGGCTGGTTGCTATCAATGACTTTGTAAAGTCTCACTTTTAAATTTGTACCTGCAAGAAATCCAGAGCAGAGCCCTTAACAACAGGATGGTGGGTTTCTCCCATTTCTGGGGCAATTGCTTCTGCAGCCTGTACGCGGCCACCAAGCTCCTCCTGTTTCAGCAATGCCTAATACAGCTCGGCCTCATCCCCCAGCGACACAAACCGGTTCTACTGCAGTCTGCTTTACGAAGTTAACATAAAGCTATTATACATCATGTTTCTTATAAGGCAGAATACCTCAACAGAATTCCAGTTGGTTTGTTTTTTATCCCTCAACTGCTCAACTTTCAACGTGCCAGAGGGAATCACTGGTTATACGTAGGGAGCTCTGCACGGTACTTAATCAAGTAACTTCTTACACCAAATTGTTAACTGAGAGTCATCTCCCATCTTTAGGTAGAGATTGCTGAGATTATGGAAAAAACTGTTTTAAAAGACAGGAGCTCAAATCTTCTGTCGGTACTCCCACTGCCAAAGTTGAAGGTACCGAAGTAAGTGTAAGCCACATGTGCTTCTTAAATGCTTTATCACATGAATAACCCTCTCCTCTGTGGCCAGTTCCATTGATTTTAGTGTGGACTGGACCACGGGTTGCTTTAGGTGGTTCAGTCCTGCAGCCCTAGCAAGAGGACTGTTTAAAAGAGCAAGTATTGTGAAATAGGATACCTCAATTTTATTTTGTTGAATTCTTGATGCAAGGTGCCTGCATTGAGACTTGGAGCTCAACATGCAGAGATGTGAATCTCCGCAACATGCACCCACAACATGGATATGAACCTTAGTTTACAACATCCAGCTCTGAGACACACCAAACTACTCAGAATCTTTAAAAACACGGATTTTATTACATTACTGTTTGGCAACAGCTTTCCAAACAAAGTTTTAAATTGTTAGGAGGAGAAAACCATGTCTTCCTTCGAAATATATTACCTTAGTACGAATAGGAGACAGTGTCAAGATTTCTACAAAGTACACGTGAAATCCAAGAGAAGCCACCTATACTGGAGCAACTTTCAAAACAGTTGTAAAACGTGGCAAAATCTCATGGAATGTGCAAGTCCTAGAAAATTGATTTTTTAACTGTACTGCTTACATATATACAGAAACTGAGCCTCCTTGCTTATCAGCTCCTCCTACTTATTTCCCATCTTATCTATTTGTGACTTAATGGCAGCATCACAAACTTGGGTCAGACTCCCTTTCTGACTCCTTTTTCCATTCAAGAAAACAGATTTTAAAATTCTGTCAAAAATACACTAAACAGGACAACTCCTATTTTTATGAAGCATCCATGGGTTTTACAAATTCACTGAGTTAAGAAAGCCTGAAATTGCTTCCAGTACCACACACTGCACAACATGAACACACACAAGAACCACATTCAGCATGAAAATTACTAGCTGCTCTGCTCTGTAATTCCAGTGCTGAATTCGGCTCCAACAGCTGAGCAGTTTCTCATCAAAGAATACAGAAGAGGCACGGAGAGCTCTCTCACTGGACCAAAATATCGGCCACCAAAGCATACATGACTACTATCCATAGAGAGGAATACTACTGTTTCATGGAATTAGGATAACTCTGTTAATAACTGAGAGAGCTGGGAGTAAACTTTGTACTTATGCAACTTTGTGTATAAGCATTTTATTTTTTATAAAAGTCTTGCTGAATGTCAGAAAAGATGTATTTGTACAATCTCTACTTCCTGCTTGTATCATAGACGTACGACCATACCTTGCCCATGCACACAAATAAAGAAAACAATAGTCTAAATGGTATTGCAATCTTTGGGCTCAGTCAGGCCCGTTATCAAAGCAGTGACTAATGACAGCTTTTGAAAATAATACCACTAAGGATTACTGCAGGGACACCCTGTAGTGGGCAAACAGCGCTTCTCATCTTCTCACCCTCAACCATCCCATACGTACCATAGCAAAAGAAAATAAAGATCACATGTGGGCAAACACACATTTCTCGATACAGCTGCCGTGACTATAAAATTACATCATTTATATCAAAAGCACTTTTGCCACACATGCAGAACAACTAGTTTCCTGAATTTCTTCTCTTTGAGTAGTGCATCTTCAAGGCCACGGTGTATCAACAACGGTGTACTTTTCACATACCACATCGCTCTTCAGTTCTGGGAATTAAAAAAAATAAAAAAAGATTGTTTGGGAAGAGCAGCAACACTTTGTGCTGCCCACTCAAGTCACATCTTAAAAAAAGGACTTCTTTTATTTCAAACTTGGAAAGCACGCTTAGCACTCAAATAATAGAAAAGAGCGGTACTAACAGCAAGCGATGTTTCAGCTTCGCCACAACAGAAAAGTGTCTGGGAGACACTGCCTTGGAGCTCCAACTCACGAACTGGAATAAGCTGTAGTGGCTCCCAGACTTAGCTGTCTGACCTGTCCCATCTCTACTCCTAATGCTGGTTTACTTTCACATGCCATGTTGTAAGCCAGGGTGCTTCAGCACCTGACTCATCCCTTGAGTGTGAGAACTTTCAAGAGTAGAAAGGGTGAGAACTTTTTAAGGTAGAAAGCAGGTAGAGCTCAAAAGGTTCCTGCCTCCAGCTTGCGCGTCAGAGCCCTTGCCTTTGATTTGTAAAACGTTCTGTTGTTTTTCAGAGGCATCTTTCAAGGCAGCAAAAGCAGACAGACTTCTAACCCTACCCTAAAAGTCAAAGTGAAATGGATAACTAGAGGTTTCTGTGCTTTTGGAAGCTCTACCTCAGCACTAGAAGCCAAGGCAGGTTTTTATAGGCTTAAATAAGACCCAAGGAGAAACAGTCAACTTATTTAAAATTGGATCTCCGAGCAAAACTCTGCCTTGTTCTTAAGCAGTATGGGGTAGCCATATTGATCTCCCTCCTGGTCAGTTTTGAATGCAATAGACTGGCAAATACCCGTTTGTCACTTCTGAAGCAGGACCTACCTTCCACTCCTCCTACTTCAGAAGATACTAACTGGTATACATTTTATCAATGCAAAAGTGCTTGTATTGTTTAGAAAATAATCCCATGGCGTATTTGCACGAATGATGTAGTACTCATCAGTAATATAACCCTAGCAGTATAAAAAGCCTGGTTTTAAAATCAGCTGATAACACCAGTTAGGACTAACTAGCACCTCATTTATTGTCACATTGCCAATTCATGCCTTCTGGAAGTGGCATGATATAAAAACATTTCAAGTAAATGAACAGATTTAGAGTGACCTTACTCTTTATCCTGACTAGCAAAATGTTGTATTTTGATGCAGGAGTACTAGGCTAAGGGTGTACTGATACCTCACGGACAAATTTGCTCAGTTTCCAGGAAGAAACACATGTACCAATAGCATCAACAAGCGCTCTTTCATCCTACTTCCATGGAAAGGAAGTACAGCTTCTGAATAGAAAAGAATCAATAAAGGACTTTTTTCATTCTCAAACCTGAGCATCTAATCTAAAACTTAAGCTCCTCAATGAGAGAGCAATCTGGGCAGGCAAACTGTTACCCTTCTGATGGATAGGAGCTGCAGGAGCCAAGAATCTCTGCGAAGTTGGCTACCCGCTTTAGGTACCAGTCTGGGAATTTGGGGCCAAGTTAACCCAGTCTCTCTTATTTCATGGAGTCTATTTACATGTAGTTGGTGTTGCAATCTCACAGGCCGTTATAAAATCAGAAGGACTAATCCCAGCATTGAGGACATTTCAAATAGGAAGAAATCTTCAATTAGGTCAGGACACTGCAACATACATCTTCCTTTACAATATCTGGTAGATCTTTAAACATCAAGCATAACCAATGGGCAGAAGCCAGAGCGCACCTTTAAATCTTAAGCTCAAAATTCAGGTTTGTCAAAAGGTATTTAAGCAGTTCTTGAATTTTATTAGTTCTGTTCATTTTTAAAAACACTGCTATCTGACCCTGAAAAAAATAGAGTGAAATCTGACTGGAATACGAACAACCTGACAAAACCCAGATAATTTAAGTAACATCTAAGGGGGGAGGGGGGAAAAAGAAAGTCTACTTTAAACCACTTTCCTGTGAACTTTCATGGGAGATCACCGATGAAATGCATAAAGAAGGCTTAGTTATAGCAACAACAACAAAAAAAAAAAGCCCCCCAAAATAAATACAACAACCCACCACCAATTAAACAGTCCATGCATCTTACATACTATATGAGCATAAAGGAAGCATACAAACTATTTGACCTTCCACATCTGATCAGAAACATACTATTTAATAATTCCCTCTGACTCATCCTCTCCACTGCTTAGAAATACACATTCTTCCCCTGTGTATGATACAGAAAATATGTATTCTTTCTTTTCAATGAAATATAACTTAAATAAGAACAGCTCCTTCACTGAAACCTGTCCTCCAAGTTTTAACATATTAGCACTGGGTAACTCTAAACATCAAAATCCCCAAATACATGCTAATTATTGTAAATACTTGGACTTACCATCATTCTAACATCACTCCTTTTGCATCTTTAAAAGCCAAGCAAGAGGATTAGTAATGAACCAAACAGCAAGAAATGCTTCATAATATTCAGATTAATTCTAAAATTCATGTTAGAACTTGCTACTACTTGGCATGCCAATTAGTGAACAGAATAGCAAAAAAACTCAAAGAAACAAACAAAAAAATTCAGTCATCCCTTTCTCACCATAAATTTCCCCCATCTTAAGCACTATCAGAGTTTCCAAACACCATGGTAGAGTTTCCCCAACCCAAAGAAATATCAAAAGAATAGAGTGACAAGGATAGATTTTGCTATCATCTTAAGTATTCCACCAAGATAAATGTTCATGAAGAAGAGTTAACAACAGGACCTGTGCCTCTTTTCCTCTTAAAAGTTAGCAAGCACAGTGACATAGAACAAGGAGTCTGGAGTTGCAGGCATAATTTCATTGAGAGATCAACCTCTTACTGACTCAGAGCCACATAAATTGACACACCAATCTGCCATCTCAGTGCTGTTGTACTGAGAACTACAATTACTTTTTGACCTTTTTCCATAATTAATCCCTTAATTAGAAGATAAGCCTTGAATAGCACCTACCATTTAGTGGTTCTTCTACAGCTTTCTGCAAAACATTTAAAAATACATATATGTATAAAAAGCCTTCATGTTTACTTTTGGCTCGCCACAGTTAAATTACTCTAATTGACATATACAGTAAGTAGTGATTCTACAAAAATGAAGAAAGCTGAACGTTAATAAAATTAATTACTAGAGTTCTGAAAAAAATTAAATTAGTCAGTAACTGCATTCTCCAGATTTTTTCCCCCACTGTAAATTCTTCCTCAGATGAAATACCTCTAGGTGGCAGCAAAAGGCATGCAGATACTACTTTTAAGCTCTAAAACCTAATTATTTCTGTGATTTGATCAATGATTAGTAATAAACCAGTATGACTGAAAAAAAAAAAAAATAGTAGCCAAGGAAACAAGTGTAATCTCCTCAGAAGGAAATACACCACAGTTGTGTATTTAGTCTGGTAGACAAATCATCAGAAACAACACATGCAATCTACAGAAACCTTAAAAGAATCAGTAATTGGTTAAGGTGGCAGACTTCAAAATACGCAGCTTTCCCCCCTCAGACTCAAGAAACTATCAAGCATAATTTTGTAAGTGTACCCCAGTGTCAAAATTAAGCACTTCACTGACATTAAGTTTTACATAGTCTTTAGATTACACAGAATCAAAGTGTATTTTCAAAATTACTCCACACCTATTTATTGCCTCAAAGTATAGCAATATATACTGAACGGCCCTCGACGGAAACCAGCAACATATTAACACACTTAATTTTCCACTACGTCTTTCCATAACTTCCATAAATCCACGGGCATAAATTCTCAGTATCTGACCCTCCACTAACTGCAGCTGCAAACCCCTTATTTTTAGTGGCCGAGATTTCCAATGACCTCTACATTTTTAAAATTTCTTCTGATTTCATTCCTGTCTCCAATTCAGAGAGTAACATGGTAGCCACAATTATGTAGTAGTGAACATTTCTTTATTTGTCAAATCCTTGCTGCAGTGTAAAACAGATCATGAAGAGAATGAAGTTTCACAAAAGATGTTATTTAGCACATTGGTTTCTATTTCAAAGCTTATCTACAGCCAAAAACTAAGTTTAAAAAAAAAACCACAAACCACACCTCTTGCCCTGTTTGCTTCCTTTCTACAAGTAAACATGAGCATGTTAAATAAAGGCAAGGTTGCATTTTGAAAGCACTGTAATACACTTCTCAGCTCATTTTTTAACATAATGAACTGTGTGAACTTCCTTTTTTTAAAAAAACAACAACAAAACAAAACACCAACCACTTCCATGCACTTATATTCCTTCCATAAATAAGAGACCAACCCTCTGAAATACTATTCCTTAAAATGGAAGTGGATGAGAACAAGCAAAGGAAAAAAAATAATCTCTGTTGTCCTAACTGCAGTCAGCTCCCCTGCCCCACTGGTAGAAACCACCTTTCTTCGACAGCTGGGTCTCAGGCTGTAGGCTGAAGAGACCTGGAAATGTGTCTCAAATGATGGCTGCCAGCCAACAAATGGGATGATTTAGTATTTGCCATGCTCCCCTGCTACAAAAAAGTTCTACTGGTATTTTACAGTTGTGCCTCTTTACTTGCTTCTGCAAAACTCCAGAAATCAGGCAGTTCACACTGACGGATCACTAGAAAGCACTGCGTAAGTCTATGAAAATTACTGTTTTCAGAATGATTGTTCTAGAATTCAAAAAAACTAACTGAAACAAAACTTCTTTAAAAAAAACGAACTGCTGTTCCATTTGTTCTGTGTGACCTAAAGACAGACACTGTTTTCAGATGGGCTCATCAAATGAGGGGGCATTATAGGAAAATAAGAAAAGAAAAAACAATCAAGGCTATAGCATTCTTATAGCTGGGAATTCAAGAGAATATTAAAGGTTTCTGGGGTAAAAGACCATAGGGAAAAAAAAACACCCCTAAGTCTTTGTTATAAGCCACCTAGATAAAAAAACCACAACAGTATTCTGCGCTCACCTTAATGAAAAAGCACTTTCATTAAGGTGAGCAAAAGGCCTTAATAAATTCATGGAAAAGAGTGCATAGTAAAAGAACACCAGACTTCCCTTCACATCCACCACCTTTTTGTGACAGGCCCTGAAACTCCATTTGGGCACAACGGTCAGAGGAGCCATTAGGTAAGGGTGGCAATTACAGTACTATAGACACACTCAGTAGGGACAATGAAGACCACCAACTCACTCAACATTAGACATCTGTTACACAGCCAGAACTTTTGCTTGCTACCAACCTGGTCTGAATTCGAACTAGTGAAGAAAGGTTCAGTATCTCACTACAATCCCCTGAGCCATCTAGTCACCCCAAATTTATTAATTTTAAGCTTACCCCTGGACGAGGATGATCTTTCATGCTGGAACCTAAAATAATTACAAAAGAAGTGACCAGGCAGATGAATAAATGACAAGATCAAACGAATAAAAATATCTACTAATAAAACTTGGAACAGAGTAGCAACACACAAAATTGAAGCTTCCCCTATCCAAAACTACTTAATATGATGATCTGCAAATACTTACAGCCTTTCAGCACTCATCTGTTTAGGAACTGAATAATCTGTTCATGTACAGTCTGTGAATTGTCTCACTCATGCATTCAGCTCGAAAAATGAATTAGGCTACACGCTATTCTTTGTGCTTATTTTGGTGTGCTGGAATCTACCTCATCAGTCACATATGATTTCTTCAGCCAGCATAATCAAACTACAAATGCAGTATTTACGCAGACCATTAGCACACAACATCAAAGTTGTATATACGAGTAGCCTGAAGTCAATAAAAATTATTTTTATCATTGTTAAAAGGCTTGCTTCACCTCTGTTGTTTTTTTGACTCATCTTCATCTATCTCAGATATCAAATATTAGGCATTCTGCCTTAATTACTTCTTTGATGGTAATGCTCCCAGTCTCAGGGTCTATTATTTCTGACTATACCAACACATGGTGTGCACACACTAAGCTTGGAAGACTGCATAGTTCAGTGCAGACTAGGGACTGAGCTGACTGTATACACACCAGCCTGAGTATGGAAGCAGTATATCCTCAATCGCATGGCTCTGCATCCAAACTAACAAGCTGTTTGAAGAGCCTTCATGCACAGCTCAAAACAAATAAAGTCACTCTGCTCTCAGACCAAGCTGTAAAGTCCACATGTTACATTGTGGTGTGCCAGCCTAGAGATGTCTGCACCATATTTCAATCACACAACACTGCTGCCATTTTTCTCTGATTCAGCAGGCCTGACTGGCTTTTATACTTTTACATCTCTCATCTTTTTGAGATCTGGTGAACAGACCAGTTTCTGAAACAAAGTATTGCTATTCTTTGCTCCTGGCTTTCAAAATTAAGTATGAGAAAAAATAGGATTCACTAAAATGAAAGGTGTGCATTCAAATTGCTCTTATTTTAACCTACCTCTAACCCAGTAGAAATCACTAGGCAAATTTTGCTTCTTTAAATTCATATTCTGACAAGCTTTTCTCCACACCATCCCATAACCCACTCTGTAGACTCCTTGAAATCCTTTTGCTCTCTTTGTTCTAAGCTTCAGCTAGACAACTGTATAAATGCAGAGGTGAAACAGCAGCACCTGTCCTACAGTTGAAACACTCTTACTTAAGAAACCTGGCTGCATTCATCTCAAGACAGTTTACTACGGTAAGCTGCAAATTTCTTTACTCAAGTTTCCCCACAATCGCTATGAAACAAAGCCAATACATACACACAATTCTTCAGTAATTTTTTTAAACTATGTAATTGTGAAATCACACCTTATGTTCAAATAAGCTATGTCTACCTCTGAAAAGTACAACAGAGAAAGTTGCGCTTCTGAATATTTAAGTGCTAAAAAAAATAAATAATGCAGAATATTAGGTGCTACTTACCCATAATAAACACGTAAGCCAGACTAAGCAAATTTGCAATAGCCATAATAGCTAAGCCAGCAATCACAACAGACCCGTGTAATGGAGGACAGGCTGTTAAAAACACGATGAAAGAAACTGTATCATCTGACACAAGTAAAAGCACAAACTTATTGTCAGATATAACTGAATACTAAAATAAATAAGTCTGATAAAACCAGATGTGATTGATGTCTCTCTCAAAGCTATCCCAGAACTACTTCTGCATCTTTCTTTTTCTGTATACATTCTTTAATGATACAAGGGCATTTATTGATTTATCCTGCTTAGCTGTATTCTACTACAGTTTAGCTGTATTCTACTGTCATTCACTGCAATTGACAACATTCATTAATTTACCTTAAACTTATATCTTCAATCCAATTGTTTTGAACTATAATTGCATTAGATTACACAATACAGTACTGTTACTGATAGAACAGGGTTAAAAAAAGGGAAGAAGGGAGCAGAGTATGAGGGCAGTTCGGAGGCAAATCCACCACAGATAAAGGCATGCTCTATGTTTACAGGGATAGCACAGCGCAGCCACAGGCTACCGCTACAGAAATTCCTTGTCCTCTGATCCTTATTTCCAGGGACTTGAAGTCACTACAACTACCTGCGAGTTCGACCTGAGATGAGCTACTTCTACTGACACCTAAGGGTCACTGAGCTAAACTTCCAGAGATACAGATTAACATCTACCTTGTCTGACCTGTGAAAAGGTCACCCTGAAAAACTAGCAACACTTTCCATTTCAGTGCTTAAAAACATCCTCCATTTCTTATTCCTCTAGAGGATTATTGCTTTACCAGAAATCTCCCATCAATTTATTTTACTATTACATTTGACAACACTTGGGTGCCCCTTACAATTACTTCTGTAAATATTACACAATAAGCATAAAACTCAAATCACAACTCCACTGGAAGGTCTATCATTTCACCCAGATTGTCTGAGACAAACCTTTAGAAACCACTTCAAGGAGAAATACTTTTTCTTAAATCCCCAACCAAATAGCTATTAAAATGAAGAATGTCTCTAAGAAACAATAAATCAGGGGTATAAAATGCTTCCAACGAGCACCAGTATGCATTCTGCTACTAAATATACTGCCAAGGATGCCTAGTCCTCAAGTCACCCTTTTCTCTGCTGTAGGGTTTTCCGGCAGGGGGAGGGGAAGGCAGCCAGGGGACAAAGGGAGGGTTAGAGGCAGGGATATGGGGTATTGCTGGGTGGGGTGTTTAGCTGGTGTTCCTTTACAACAGGGACTGGTTTTCAGTGCCAGAAAGAATGCCAGCCACAACCAGATTTAAGACGGTCCAAGAACGCTTCCAAGTTTACCGTATCTGCATCTCCCTTCTCAGGCTGTTTCAACGGTATTAGTTTCCCAGTGCCTCAGTTATCAGTCACACACAAGCAGAGATTAAGAAGGGATTTCTGATGTATTCATTGAACATGAGAAAATTATTATGCCTCTAGTTTAGTTTCTAAATACCCTAGGCCTCAGTAAGAGTAACAGTAATAAAGGTCAACGTTGGTTTTAGGTGACTCTTTAGGGCACTACCTATTCCAAAATTAAAACAATTAACTTTTTTTTTTTTTAAAGCAACTGCTCATAGAATGCAGTCTTGCTGGATATAGTCATACTAATGAAACTGATATGTAATACTGCCTTTGGGGTATTCTTCTTTCACCAGATAAAAGAGCATTAGCACAGCAGTCTGAAAGTACATTCACAGAAGTTACTTGCTAACACTCAAGGTAGTGAAGCCATTTTCACAGCCTGTTATAGAGTTACAAATAAACAAACATCAGGTATAGATAAAAGGAGAGAGACTTTTACAGAAGATAAGTTCCTTACCTGAGACACACAGTGCAAAACCAATCACAGCAATTATATAGCCAAGAATTTGCAAACCTATCAGAACAAAGGTTGCTTGTGGTAGACTATCGAAAACTGGGAAAGACAGAAAGAGAAAGAAAATTGTAATATTTAAAGAGATACAAAAGGCAGGTCATTCATGTAAAGCTAGAAATCATATTCTCCTAAATTCCAAGCTCAGCCAGCCCATTTGATAACAAAACAAGTCACTGCAAGTGACTCAGGGCTCTTGTACGTATACACACACACACAAATATATGTATATATAAATAAACCGTAAGTAGAAGAAATGAAACATACATTCTGAGAGCTATTCATCCCAGTCCCAAGGCCCAGGAAGGAAGAGGAGGTGTCCTACCCTAAACCTCATTTTTCAAGCAGGTAACTTACACTTCTTCCCTGAAGCAACTTAGCCAAACAAACACAGGTTAAACATTTTGTTTTGAGATACCAGGAAGGTCAAGAATCCAGCATGTTATCATAGCACCTACTTATAAAAGTGAAAATAGCATGTAGATTATGGGGAGGGGGGGGAGTTCAGTTTTTCAATCAGGATGTTCTCAAGCTAGTGAATAAATAAATACTCACCATATCCAAACATAAAGTACTGAAGCGGTACCAAAATCAGAGCAGGGACTACAATTAGGCCAAGACCAGCTTGATTCTGTACATTATAGCCATCTGCAAATATTGTACGGAAATTAGTAAAACAGAAATCCTTGATTGGAAAAAAAGCACAAAGCAACAAAAGCAAATCATTAGTATCATCAAGTTTTTAGGGTCCAGAAAAAAATCCCACTGAAACACCAGAAGTCACTCCCTAGCCCCCAATATTCACTCAAGGTAGCAAGACAGAAAGTAGAAATTAATTTGGAGCCCTATGATCCTCCGAGGGCCTGACAACCACAACACTGTTCTTGTTCTATTCTGTGAATCATTTTTTTTTAATTTCAAAATTAGTAGATTTAATTAATAGGTGGTACTAACTCCATACTGCTGCATGGAAGAGATTCATTTGTGCTTTTATTCCCTTAAACAAGGAAGGCAATTTTAATACACTTACCCTGGACAAAAAGAACAGTGCCTACAACAGCAGCAAGTGTGATGGTGATACCTGCTACAACAATGCCCATTTTCTTCTGAGGTAAAGTTCCATATTTTAATGCTAAAACACAACACAAAGAGAGACAGAGAGGAAAAAAAAATCAGGCATACAGATTATCTCACTAAAATACACAGCTTTTATGATTAGGACTGTTGTCCTAGAAGAAACTCCTGAAAAATTAGAACTGTAAATATTACCCAGATTTCATTTGTTTTCATTGTTTGATATGGTTAACATGACTTACTCAGATAAATGAAACCTGGCACTGGTTTTTCAGTCAAATTCCTAATTCCACCTTCTATACAATTCAGGTGATATGCTATCAAAATAAGTTTGGGACACAGTACAGGTTAATTCAAGTAGATGAACTACTGATATTTAAATAACATTACAGCGAATTTGTTACTCAGGTGAGTGTCAAGACAGCGATCTAGAAATTCCAGGTTTAATTCTCTAACCTGTGATACTGTGTGAGTTCAGCCATATCACCTCCATCCCCAAGGGAGCAGGGTGATGTTCCCATTTCACCAGAATGCTTTGAGGATGAGTAGATATGGGATGACCTACATGTTCAGATGCCGTAAGACAAGACTCAGTTTCAGCAAAACTGCACTGCTAAGTAGCTGCCATCTCAGAAATGGTTGATTCCAGTGGAGGGTTTCAAAGCAGCAGCACTTTAGTAGTCTTTGGAAAAGAAGAAATAGTACAAATGCAACTTCATAATAAGCTGCATTTGTTTCTGCCTTATGCACTGCTAAAACTAAGACACAAAAAAGGCAGCTCTTGCTCCAAGCTTGAAAATTAATATACTAACAATCTTGGTATACGTTGAAATTGGTAATCACAAACAGAGAACAAATACTATAAGTAACTTCAAAAAGAAAAAAAAAAAAAAAAAAGGAGCACATACAGAATTAACATCCTACTTACATGCACTGCATTAGCACAAAAAAAAAAAAAAAAAAAATCACGAAGATACAGTAAATATTCCAGAGGGTACAAATGACAAAATCTTTTAATAGTTTCTTATCTATGGAAGCGTTTCAAAATACTCTCTCTTGTAATTAAAACTCTGTCTTTCATTATATTCACATTGTCTAACACAACAGGACCCCAGCCATACTCCCAAGTACTACGGTCATTTAAACCAAAAACTTATTTGGAATAGTAGTAACAGTAAAAAATTCCTGCATATCTGTACTGAAAATTCCCATTTCTTCATATTATAAATATGCTAAACAAGGAAATCAGGACATAAAGGCAAAAATAAGTAATGGATATGCTATACTTAAATCCTAAATGCCAATGCTGTAAGCAAAAAAAGAAAAAACCAAAAAAGCACCCCCACCCCCCAAACCAACCAACCAAAAACACCCCCAAAACCAAATTCCCCCGCTAAAACACAAATCCAAGAAAACATATATTCTCAGGTGTTACACAGAAAAATCAAGCCCAGTTTAACAAACTATTTAAAGGTGTACTGTAGTATTGCTGGATTCACAGGTTAACTAAAACAGTGCAAATTCACAGCAGGGGGTGGGGGGGGTGAGGGGGAGAGCTGAACCAACAACCCACAACAAAACCTAACAGTAAGTACAACCACATTTATTAAGTTAGAGGCAGCACGATTACTTTTCCCCAAAGAGGTCATAGACCTCGCAGTGAAGTGCACAGATGCAACAAAATTCAAGTAGGCTCAACTTACTCTTGTAAAATGACAGTGCTTCTCCATGGATGTATACATGCTTATTTCAGGACAATTATTACTTTCCTATCAAAATGCTAAAATTATTAAAGTTCTGCTACGAATGGAAGGCAATGACAATTCCTCAACATATCAAACAAATCAGAGACTACCAAACCATTATAAACAATACCAAAAACCAGGAATCTAACACTATGGAAGTAAAACAATTTAAAATATATATATTTGTTGTCAACCTCTGACCATGGATGGACCTTTAAAGAGTCACATACCACTTTCAGAGGCTCATGAAAAGGTAATAAAGGAAATTTTATATATATATATATATATAGTAATCATATACATATATATATGTGTGTGTATATATATATAACTGAGCACTATTTCTCTCCATTTCTTATGGACTTGTCTCTAAGCAGAAATTTTTTTATTTTTCAGAAGTCTACAAATTGAAAAAGGCTGAAAAAAACTCAAAGATTGATATAACAAATTGCACCACAGGGAACCATCTGAAAGACTAGGACATAAAGCACACTCTACATAGCACACATGTTGGACACCAGTGTATAAAGAACATCTAAGGATGTCTGACACTGGTGAACGTATTGCCCCTGAAAACGTTTAACAAAACCACTGATGTCAGTGTTAAATTATAACTCAGCCAGTGCTAAAAGACTAATGAACAATTTTACATTAAGAAGAGAGCACCATCTCTCTCTAATATTGATTTTATGACCATAAAATGAAACATCATTCTGTTTCTAATGACTCAACGTCATGGTAAACCAACAGTGAAGAAAAGCTTCCTTGTTCTGGCCAATGACAGTAGACATTATCAATTATACTCCATGAAAATTACACACATGCAAAAAAACTCATCGTTTGCAAAAGTACTGGCAAAAAAAGAAGCCACCACATTGCAGACTAACTCTAAACACAGACCCTTTAGGCTGCACATCATCATACCTTTATCTACAAAGACATACAGCTGCTAAAAATCTTAACGCCAGGAAGCAACCCCTGGCCTCCAAGCAAATAGAACAGACTGGCCCAGATCCCACTGCTTAGGCTCAGACCCCCTTCTACACAGTGCCTGCATCCACACTGCGTGACTGGGCCACCATGTGGCATGCTGAAGCCCCAAGACACACATCTTTTCGATGAGGCCATGTTTGCTTTCAGTTCAAAGGTTCCAAACTCTGCAAATGCTATGCCAGACTACTGTTTTTGTAGCCTGATGCCAAAAACGTATGTTACGTGTCCTGAAAGAGTGCAAGGCTCACTGAAAAGGAAATGGAAGACCACATAGCACAGAAGAGTGAAGCTTGGTGCACTTTATTGACAAAGCCTGTAAGTAGCAGTGCTTATTAGGAACTATCTTGAGAACTGTGTATGAATTAACTCTTGTGGTGTTAGCCAATTCATGCCAAAATAAACACTAGAAATGAAGATAAGTAGCACAGCGTGGTGATCAAGAGAGGATTCCAGAGCAAACCAAACACCATGTTATGTGACAAAGCAGATGTACCACTGTGTATTATCTGGATCAGTTCTACCAGACATCTTTTATATGTAAGCACCGTCATTCATCTTACATGGATGCTTTTAGGCAAGCAAGTGATTTTAAGACAAATCGGTAATTCCAAAGAATTAAAGAGTCAATACTTACCAATAACACTTAACTGAGCCGAACAGAAAATAATAACTAAGAACAGCAACACTATGATGATAGCCCTTTCCATTAGAAGAAACCATGATCCTAGAGAATAAACAAAGAAAAATGGTAGGAAGAAAACAAAACCTGAAGTTATTAGCTTTACATTTATTGCTCCTTTTAGGCTGTGCTCTAGATTGCTCAATACTGTACGTAACAGCATTAGGAGTTATAATAGACTAAGAGAGCTATGACTTCTACCTATGTATTTTTCACTCTGATCTCATGTGTGACAACCTATTTTTTTCAGTATTTCCAGCTACCCTAAAATTTTCCAAACTGGAGGCTTTAACCTCCACTGCAGCACAGGATATGTTTATGCTATTGTCTGGCAGTACAAGCTAGTTAGCTTGTAGAACTACAAACAGCACAGTAGATCAGAAAAATGGTGTATTTAGGCTAAGCAGGGAAGCTGGGCAAGATACAAGAAGTCCAGCTTGATGCTTCCCCAGCTATTCTATTCTACCTCCAACTGCTGTAATTCCTGAAGAAATCCAGATGTGTTATAAGGAATACCGGAGCTAGCTCAAGCTAGAAGGAAACACTGCTTTGTTAATTTTCGAAATCACGCATTTTCCTTTAGGTCTTCCCAACATCATCCATTTAGCTTTTTTTCCCCTGCATCTTGGATGCCTTAGGCTGTTCAGTCACTCATGCTGTAAGACCGTGTAAGCCACCTTCCAACATAAAATTCTAAAAACATCTCTACTGAACTAGAAAATACAGCTGATTCTTGTATCTCTGCTCATAACCTCATTTAGTCTCACTCAGTGGAGGTGGGGGGGTGGGAAGAGAAGAGAAAATGGAAAAGGGAGGAAGAGAGAGTGGGAGAAGAGTCATAGAAAAAGAAGCACGTGAGAGGAAAAGAGTAATAAGAAAAAAGCGAAAGAGAGGAAAAGAAAAAAGGGGAAACTTTACAGTCACTCTCCTGTGAAGATAACTGATCAGGAAGGAGTGTGCCCAAAGATAAGGGTGCTAGCATATAAGTCTTGCTCACTCTTCTACCCACTTCCTATGTGAATCCAGGAACTCCGTAAAATGAGATGGAGAATAGTTGGCTCCTTTAAGACTATCTTTGTAAAAGCATCAATTGGAACATATTAGTAGTGACAGCATTAATTCATTGCTCAGAAACGAGAGTGAAGACTGGTACAGGATTTACATTATTCATTAACTCTTTTAAAAACTTGCTACACTTTCTTCTATTAACTTACACCTCAAGAGTCTCTCTAGAACACTGAGGAACACACAACCAAAAGTTATGCAGAAGAATTTAAAGAGAGCAAGCGACTGTTTTATCTTCAGCTAAACCCACAAACATAAGACTAAGTTTTACATTTTCTAGCATATACTCTCAAACCTAACATGACCTTGCAACTATAAATTCTTCACCAACCACATTTTTCCTTTGGTGTTGGGGTACTTTCCTCGTCGCAACTGACAACTAGAAAATGAAATTAGAAAAATTACATCACTTTCCTGCTTTGCAGTATTTATTCCACTTTCAAAATTCTAAACACAGTGAAGTAAAAATGAAACAATACAACTTGCAAACAGAACTTGATTCTACTACATCCTCAAGTCTTGTTTCCTATTCTAAAGCTTAACACTGAATGGCGAAAACAGTCCAAAAAGACTGAGTAAGCAAGAAGCTACAATAGAAGGAAGGAAACTGCCTATACCTCTTCCCCTGTTTTCGCAGGGTTCTATGAACCAAATGATTTTGTAGCACCCTCGCTCTCTCAGTGGCTGTGCCCCCTCACTCTCTTTCAAGATTGCATTTGTTTGGCAGTCTATACAGTTAACTCAATCATCAGACCCAACTGTGAATTACACAGATGTCTGCAGCAGGACAAAAGCACCATCTGTTTGAGCTTCATAACTATTTTAATGACAAATGCAAAAACCAATAGCAAAAACGTCCTAGGACAATTCTACAGTGCACGGGTAAGACTCCACGTGCTACACATATGTAATATATTCAATGCTTCTGAGAAACCTTCCAGAAGCAAGGAGCAAGTCTTCTGTGCAGAACAGATACACCATACATATGTCCAGTGAAACTGTCACCTCTGCAGAATATTAGACAGACTGCACATGGACAGCAGACCCCATTATTCAACAGCTGAGGCGCTAGAGCACACGGGCTGCGTCTGACCCGATACAGTAAAATGGCTCACTAAATGAGAAATTAATCACTCAGTCACCATTATTTTAAACATCATCTTCTGAAGACAACATTTAATGCTAGACAACCATAACAAGTTACCATCTAATAGCATATTCAACCTCACTGCATGCCCTCAGATCAAGTTTTAGAGCTCTAATACAGAATTTCTATTAGTTCTAGCTGTAATTTTTCCAGCATTGCTAAAGATTGCAAGATGCAATACTTCAGAGGAAAGATCTCTTCAGCCACTGTGGAGGTATCCATCTCAGTATTACAGAGATACTAGGAATATGTTTCAGCGTGTAATGCAATAACACAAGGGTGCTGAAAATATCACCAACTATGTAGCCTAAAAGATGTGGGATCTTACTACATTAGACAAGTGATCTTCAGACATTATTATAGAACGAAAAAACATGTTCAGATCTTTCCTGCAGAAGCAGTCCCCTATAACTTAATCCAAAATAACTCATATTAGCACTCAAGTTAGAAGGCCTGGGTGCTACATTTTTTGTATTTTCAATTTAAAGTAATACACGTCATATTCATTATTTTTTCTCCTTCCCGTAAGATCTTGCTTGTTTTCCCTCCCAACAGGTTTTAAAACAATGGCAGGCAACTCACCCGAGGGCTTTCGAAGTTCAACTGTTGTTTCTCCTTCTCTGTTCGATTCTGTTACTTCACAACTGTAATTTCCAGCATCTGCTTCTGCACTGTTAAGTATCAGAGAGGCAACACCCTTGGGTAAGTCCTTCTGAGATAATAAGTTAGCTGATGGAACTGCTGGATCTCTGACAAACTGTTGTTTTTCTCCATCAAAAGAAAAAATTGTTTTTCTTTGTTTTTTCCACGTAACAAACATGACACTTGAATTGTTCTCCTTTAGATTAGTCACATAGCAAGGTAAAATGACAGTTTTATTACATTTCGTTACTTCAAGAACATCTGTCGCACTAAACATCAACTGGGCAGAACCTATAAAGGAAAATGAAAATTGACACATTCAGAATTATTTCTTAATATACAAGAGAAGAAAGAAAAAAGAATTACAACACATGACTTGGGCAAACAAAACAAACCATCCCACAAAACCACAAAAAGAGAACCACACTTTAAGGAGTAACAAAAGAAGGAAAAAGGGCATCATTATAATTCCACCACAGCCCCTCCACACACTTGGCCATTCTCACATCCATTTAATGTACAGATAACATAACCTATAATAATTTAAAAAAAAAAAAGTAATAAAACTTTGGGCTGCCAATTACTTGGATGCTTCCCCTAAAATGCCATATGCAGAAACACTGCATTAAGGCCTGGTTTCTGCAAAGCATGCGCACAGCATTAACCACAGGTTGTCCCACTGATGTTCCCATTTTTGCTGCTGATCACACAGGTATCTAGAACTGGAGGTCCAGGCATCATCTCCACACAAGCACCCTTTAGTTTGTTAAGGACAGGGGGGGAAACAATTCTACTTTTGCGCTTCTGAGAGAAGGCAGGAAACACAGCTTAGTCAACAAAGGTTTGTCATTTATTCCTTCTTATCTCTGAAGGTGGAGCCAAATGCCCACAGGTTTAGCCCATTTCTTGCAAATTCCCTCTTCCTTTCTGATGGAGGAGGTGCAGACACAATACTGTGTATTAAATAAGATTCTTACTTAGTATTTGAGTGTATACACAATAGAACCGAAAATGGAGAATTTGTAACAACAAGTGTCCCGTATTATAAATCGTTGTGATTAACGCTACTAACAATGGCATTCCATGCAGGTAATGAAAAATCACCCCCATGCAGGATTATGTTATCACCGCTGGTTTTAATCACTTCTCCCCCACATTGTACCACAGTTCTAAAACAGTAGTATTGACTGACCACTGTTTCAAGAAAGACGTAAATCCTATGCTGAGATTTTATCTGAAGTGAAGACCCATGCATCAGTTCTTGAGAATACCAAAAACTGTAACATCAGTATTTAAATTACACCAGGAACCAGAAGTAACAGGTTAATTGAACTAACTTGACTGCAAAAGATTTGAATCCTGTATTCTCTGTATTTTTCCTTGTTTGTGTGAAATTGTAACTTAGTTTAATAGCTGTCCTAATAGTCACTGCTCCCCAAAGTTCCAGTGACATTAATCATTCATCATGCTTGACTATCTCCACCTGATAAAACCAAAAAGGGAAAAGGTATGTACTGTAAAACAAGACCACAACCCCTAATACCGTAAGCACACAGACTTATAAAGTGGAGTAGCTCCAGCAACTTCAGAGGAACTACTGGTATTCACATGTCTAAAACAGCTCAGAATTGATATATGTATTTGATGACTAAATTTAATTATGGGAAAGAGAGGAGGAAAAAAAAAAACAAAACCAAAAATCAATACAGTTGTGTCACTACTTGCAGCTCAATTTTTTCAAAGCAACAGTCTCAGATCAAATTTAAAAAGCACAGATCCTCGAAACACTGATTTAATATTCTCACACAAGTCCCTGGATTACTACTGAATATCAAAAGCTTATAATAAACTGACTAAATATGCATTATGCACGACAGCACTTAACAATGAAGAAAGAATTATTCTCTTGTTTACTCATGGTGTTGAATTTTTTTAACTGTACCTCAAAAAATAAAAGTAACAAAAGGAGAACAAAGGGAAACTGCACGTAAGCCCCAAACTATGCACTACTGAAAAATAAATGGACACAATTAAAAGCTGTAGTGCTTCAGAGGTTCTTCCTGAAATAATATTCACATCTGTGTTATTTTAACACTGCCTCACGATAAAAGGTTTCTGAGCGTGAGGTTGTTGGGTCTTGTTGTTGGGTTTGGGTTGTGTTTTTTTTTTTTCCTCCTTTAGAGCAGCACATTTACACTTTGTAGACAGAATTTATTCTCCGCTGGCTCCATCACTGAGTAAGGTGATTTTCAACTAAAGGACGCAACTATACTTCCAAATGTTTACCGAAGCAAATAAAAACCAACCATCCTGAAGGAATTAAAACAAATTGACCACGAGTTTCTCACTCGTATTAGTACAGAACAGCAGGGAGACTTAAATTACAGATTCCACCGGTTTGACGTTGTTTAGTCTATGAGAGCTAGCATATTTTGCCTCAAGCCAATTAAGTACTCACATGAACTGCTCCACCAGCAGGGTGCTGGGGAAACAACGAGCAGGCTGCAAAGAGGCACCAGCAGAAGCACACAGACAAATATTTGAGGGGTTTGTCCTCTGCAAATCTGACTTCTTTAGGAGAAAGGGTTGCGTGGCCGCTATCTCACTTAAAGGGAAACTGACTGCTTACTACAGACATTGTTTCCACTAACAGTTTCCCACGTTCTTCTTGGGGTATGAGGAAGTCATCAGAACCCTTCGGCAACAGTTCCCAAACCCTGCAGGCAGTGGACCACTACGTAGGCTCCTAGTCTCAAACTTTCTCACGGATGATCAGCTTAGAGGTGTCCGATAAAGGTGACAATTTTAGAGCCTTATACCAAGCAGTCTGGGGGGCCTGCTTCTGAAGAATATGCAGTTGTGAAGCTGCCACAGAAAGGTTGTTTCAAATTATATAGGCAGTGCAAACTGGGGAGTAGCCCGCATGATGTCAGAAGTGGCTGAGCTCGGTAGCTGCACCTGATGGGTACCTGCACTTCCGACTGACTACAAAACACGCTAGGGCACTCAGCATTGAAGCCAGTAGTCTACTGCTAACTCAGGAACCCGGACGGCCGCCCACCGAGTTTCTACTTGAGGCACATAAAATAAGAAGTTAGATTGTGAGATGTCATTTACACGCCAATGACACCCAAACTTTTTTTTTTCTTTTTTTTTTTTTTTTAAGGTCAAGAAACGCCGTCAACCCTAGAAACTGTACAGCAGCAGTCGACCAGCTTGATCATCGTTATTTCCTCACGACAGCACATGACGCCAAGCCGCCCTAAGGCGCGGGAAGCCCAGGAGCTCTGCGCTGGCCACGGCGTCCCTCCTCTCCCCCGCAACTTCTGCAAGAAGCAACCCGCCCCCGAAGCCGGGGAGGGCGAGGGAAGCGGGGAGGCGGCGGGCTGGAGGAACGCTCCCCACGCACACGCACACGACACGCACACAGGGCCGGCTACAGCTCAGCCGACCGCACTC